GGAGGAGAAGCAAGAGGGAAGAGGGTCCTTGGAAGCACGAGACAAGTTTCAAGAAAGTGGGTGAAGACTCTGTCATTAGTCTGCAAGGTGGAGGTCATGGCAGTCAGTACTAAAGTGGGTTCAAGAGGAGATGAGAGAGACAGAGTATAGAATAACTTTTTCTTTATTTCCCCAGAGATTTATTTCAAAGCACAGAAGTAAAATGGGCAGGTATGGGAGTCAGAAAAGTTATTTTGTTTTTTTGAAGTTGGGAGAAATAAAGGCATGCATTCTGCCAGAAAGGATCCTATACAAAGGGAAACTTTAGTGCAGAAAAGAGAGCAGAAAATTGCTGGAACCATGGTCCTGAGAAGGTGGGAAGGGGTGGGCCTAAGTGGAGCATGGACAGATGGACAGTGCCTCCACAGTAATAAGAGGGAAGACAGGACAGCAAAGATGCAGGCAGGTTGGTAGATGGGGTGGGAATGCGTATGCATGTTCTCTTCTGGTCATTTTTATCTTTCAGTGAAATAGCCAAGATCTTCAGCTGAGAGTGAGGAAGGGAAAGGAGATGTTGGTGGTTTAAGGACAAAGGAGAAAGTGTTAAGGAATCATCCTGGAGAATGACAGAATAAAACATCGTAGGATTCTGGGTGATATCAAGGGTTCTCTTGGGTTATTGATAATGAATATCAAGCGAGCCCACCTATGGGTGTGCAATTTGAGCCTCCAGTTATGCTCAGCTCCTCGGGTGCTGGCATGGAGAAGGCAGGGAATTGGTGTTAACCATGGGTTTTTTGTTTTTTGTTTTTTTTTTAGTGGATATTGTAGAAGGAAGGGAATTGAGGACATTTATAAGTGAGTAATTGTAATGACTAGTGAGGGAAATGAGGACACGGTGGGGGCAAGGGGAGGGACAATGAATAGGTAATAGGATCAATGAATTGTGTGTCCTGGTGGGGTCAGAATGTTAGAGGGAGTGAGCTGGGAAAAGAGGAGTTGGTAGTTGAGTAAGAATCTTGAAATCGAGGGTTATGCACACTATTTAGACAATATTTGGAGAGTGGCTTGGCCTGAACGCAGGAGGGAATGGCTTCAGTTCCTTGGAGTGACTGTTCTATACTTTTGGGCAAGTTGTTTAACTATTGTGTTGCCTTATTTGTAAAATGGTAATTATAATAGTTCCTACTTTATAGAGTTAACAAGAGGAATAAATGAGTAAATACATGAGTCTTCAACAGTGCCTGGCACATAGTAGGAATTTAATAAATTTTAGCTATTATCATATTTCTATAACCTAGAGTGGTGCTGGGGCCCATGGGTGAGAACTGAAGAATGTTCCCTGGGGCCAGTGACCCTTTCTGAGGAGCCAGATGGTCCAACAGCGATTCAATGAAATCCACTTTTGCTGAAAAATGGGGCCCAGGTATAATTACCCTCCTTCGTTGTAGATCACGCCAATGGCAGGTCACTGTTTTTGTCACGACTGTGAGATAGCTCTATTAAGGTGGTTTTACCTGAGGTCTTACGGCTTGTGTGATTCATACCAAGGAGCAAAGTAAAACTATATCCTGTTAATGTTGCTTAGAGGGCCTGAGATCTTCTTTTAGGGGCAGGGGAAAGCACAAATAGCTATCACCGCAGTCCTGGATTTCTTGGGACCTATGTGTGAATTATGTTGAGTCTTAGAACTCCCCAAGAATGACCTGTTATATCATTTTGTAAGATCTTTTTGGCTCTTGTTGTCCCTGATAGATGTTAACTCTTTTTACTCCCTTGGATCAAGAGATTGTATGTTGTATTGATGAAAACTGTGTGTGCTTTTAAGGCCTTTTCTTTGGCCTACAGGAAACATTAAATATCACTGTAACATTCTTAAATACTCCAAAGAAAAGTCAGCATTACACTCAATGTGAAACAAGATGCAGCAGAGCTTTTATTATTTCATGATTTTTTACTTAAAATTTTTGAGGGGTTATTTTACTATTGGAACTCTAGGACTAGACTCCAAAAGAACAATTGGCAAATGAAAGGTTGTACCCTGAATTTAATACGTATCTTTTGAAGGTTAGGATATTGATTTACTGGACAGTATTGGAATTTTAAACTCTAGTTCTCAGACTGTTACCTCGGAAATTGATGAAGTTTAGACATTATCAGCTGAGACAGATGAAAGAAAGCCCAGGGCATTTAGCCAAGCCTGTAAGAGAGAGTAAGAAGGGGCTGTCCTTGGTCTCCGGGTTACGTCAATGCTGGTATCAGGATTGACAGGACTGAAGTGGTAAGGCTGCCTGTCTGCTTGCCTCTTACACCTGGCAAAGGGTCAGAGCTGGAGAGGACTCCTTAGGGACTGGGTGTTTGGGGTGCAGTGTGTTAACTCTCTCCCGTGTTAGGAAGCAGACTGTATGAAATCAGGATGAGAGAGCAGGGTCTGTTTTGACTAATTGTTACCTTCCTACAAAGTAGGAT